CTGTAAAGGGTAAAAAGAAGCAGAGATCAGTTGCAATTAATCCCACCAACATCATGTGGATCGGGGGAGGGGGCGAAAGGCCCCTGCCTCCCTCACCAAACTTAAATGAGAGAGAGAGAGAGAAGTAATGGAAGGGAAAGGGGGAAAAAAGAGGAAGAAGAAAGGTAGGAGAAATCAGTTGCAATTTTTCCCGATTTGTACCCCTCCCCCCCCCCCTCAGCAAAGAGAGAGAGAGAGAGAGAGAGAGAGAGAGAGAGAGAGAAAGGGAAAGAGGAGAAAAGAGGAGAAGAGCCCCCGTGGACAAAAAATTAATTTGATTTATATTTACACCAGTGGAGAAAGTTTATACCAGGAACCTAATGTTATTGTGTGTGGTGTTATGAAGTGCATAAATTGTGAAGTTTTTTATGAAAAGCTAACTGATTTTTCAAAATTTCTGTGTAACTTGTACATCAAGGAACCCCTCTCTCTCCTTCTCTTTCTCTCTCTGTATGCCTCACAAATAAATATACACGTCCCCACACCCATACACGCTACCAACAGCGTACCCACCACATCACACTCTCCTCTCCAATACGTACACTCATAGGCGGCACCCCACATAACCAAAGCGTACTACGGCCACCGCACCAGCTATATACTCTACTAAGAATACGTTTCATACTGGACTTTGAATGTGTTGAATTTTGCGGTTCTAATGCTAATAAAAATCGCAACTTTGGATTAGGACTGTATCAATCAATTTCCTTCAAAAACTACTGACTTATTTTTTTGTCAAATGAAAAGTTATATCCAACTTGCGGTTAATAGTGGTCAGGGGCGGCGATCCCGGGGGGACGGGGGGACACGTCCCCCCGGAAAATTTGAAAAGGTGCAAAAAAATAATGTACAGAAAATACTGACTAAAGACTGCAACACACTATTAGGCTTTGGAGGGCCCAAGAGTGCAGCGTTTAGACAAATAAAAATACAAAAATCTTCTGGCTCAGAAGCTATGCTCCCTCGCATAATATCCTTCAAAATGTACAAGTATATATTGTAGAAAAGTGAAGTGTGAAAAAAGGTATATTGTTTCTTTTCATACTATAGTTTTCCTAAAGAATATAATTTTGTAATACAACAAAACTTAAAAACCTGTGGGGGTACTACCGGGTAGTTACTTTCGGTACTTCACCCCTCTCGTTCACTATGCTCACTCACTCGGGCTTGGGGCAGTTCCTCCTCCCCCCCCCCCCCCCGATAAAATTCAAACGTGGTTTATTTCTAATTCGATACCAATGACTAATTTACATATGTTGCTGAAATGGCGTGATTTTATCTGAGCTTCCGGGGGCTCTGCCCCCCTTACCCATACCAAGGGCCCTAAGACGGGCCCCTGGTTGCTCAGCTGACCATAATTAAATACCTAAAATACCTGAGCTCCCGGGGGCTCCGTCCCCTATACCCCACTAAGGGCTCTTAGGCGACCCCTGGACGATCATCTGATCGTAAGTTAATGCCTGAAACCGCCGAGCTTATGGGGGCTTCGCCCCCTGGACCCAACTCCGATTAGCGAACTGCATGCAAGTGTCACAAATAAGGTATCCAAATATGCTCATCTGACCCTTACTAAATGCCCCAAAACTCTGAGTTTCATGAGCCCCTTGACCCCCGCCGGGGCTTTGCCCCTGGACCCCACGCCAATTTACGCGCCACTTGCTTTGCTCTTTTTGATCGCAAATAATTTAGCCCCCCCCCCCCCCCTCTCCAAAAAAAAAAGTTTTTGCTCATTACGTCACTCCTCCCTCGTTCCTCGCGTATCGCCCCCCCCCCCGGTCATGAAAAGAAATCGCCCCCCCCCCCCAGATAGTGGTTAACCTTTCTGTGGGACGGACAAAGTTTTACTAGTGACGTCAGCACGACTGCTCACAGACCATTGGCTGATTAGGCCGAATGGAAAGTTTCTATTCAAATGACCATTCGGCATGTGCGCTTTAAAATGGCTATGAAGATGGTAGTAATTTCAAATATATCTATTATTGTTTGCCATCGAAGGAAATCCAACCTTAATAACAAATTACACTAAAAGGAAGGACAAAATAGAGAAGCCGACTGGTGAAAGGTTGATCAAAATCGGACAACAAATAAGACGATTGTGAATTTGTAAAAGTTGTATTTACTATAGGAATGGGAACTTCAATTGGGTGAATCGTTAATGTCACCGTGGGGATACTCTTATTTTTCTGCTTTCATACAAATGAATTTATTATAAAGGATGGATTTCTCTTCTTGATAGTCATCGTCTACACAGGTCTACACAGGCCTGTAAACGTTTCTTGTGATCTTCACTTTTAACTTTCTCGCTCATTATAGATTTACATCACACAGCGCAATGGACATCACTTTAAGAACAGCATTTTCCATGTCATTCCCATTTTGCCCACTTTTATTAGCCAATATATTGTGTCAAAAAGTACAGAGGATGAAAATCTTGAAAATAAAAAATATAATTTTTCGAAACACGATCGCAACTACTTTCGCAATATCATCACTGATCAGGAGCAATTTTAATACCCTATTGTATGCCCCATAGAAAATAATGTTCCGAATACGTAATAAGCATTTTTAATGTTCGTACATTTCAAACCGTGACGTAACAGGCCTAGAAAAATTCCTTAGGTTGATGCTCCGAAAGCAGTGCGATCGTGTTTTAGTGACGAATCATTATTTTGTTATTTATTTATTTATTTCCTCTCATAGGGTGGATGGCCCTTTCAGCACAGCTGATTTTCAAAGGGGTCCACAAACATAAAAATAACAATAAATATACAGTGGATTATACAATGATATGTAAAACATATTATATCATTTTCTGCTCCTACCTTGGGTATAGAGATGGTTCTATTATCGATAAGAATAATCCAATTTGTTGCATTAAATAGAATAAATGTTACTGATCATGCTAATGTAACCAATGTTATGCTGAAAGTCAAAGGGATAACCCATACAATCAGCTGTATGAAGCCAATGTTCTTTCACAGATATTCGTGTGATTATTAATAGCTTTACATAACATTTTTACCCATTTTTTTTTAATTGTCAAAAGAAAAAGAGAAACTATTCAATGGACTATAAGGGGGTCCTGAAGAATAACCAGTCCTGAAGAAAAAAAACAGGCGGGGAAAGATGACAGCTACTAAAAATATCAGAAAAAGATAGACTGGTTTAAAAATAAGGCTAATGAACAACCTCTTCTCACATGATCATTCAGGAGATAAAATCATGCAAAGTTAAAGATAAACTCCAGTACTGGTAAAAAAAAAATAATAATTCTCACAGAATCAAACGAAACTTACACCGAATGTTCAAGATTACAAATAAATGACATGTGCCAAGCAATTTTGGAAGAAAATGTATACTGGCTGAGTAATGAGCATAGAAAGACAAGGAAACCAAGGTAGTACTAGCCCCGACACCATGTGTGTTGTCCCATATATAGCTTTCTATGTGAGTGCTTGTTACTTTACCAAGACTCGGTCAAATTTATTATGATTTTGATGACTCCAGAACCTTGCAGTGCACACCAATACTTACATGCTACATGATCAACTGTTTCTGATCCTTTCCATACCTTTTCTTTCACAATGCAATCGCATTACCAGTACTAAAGTTTATCTTTAAGCATGCCCAGGTCGAAATTCCATTAGGATCCGATCCTATTGGACCATCAGAAACCATTAGAACTATTGGAGTCTAATGGTTTCAATAGGGAAAGTGAAATGATGGACCCACAGAAACCATTAGAAAATATCTATTGGACCAACACAAACCCACAGAAAGAAATGCTGATGGACCAACAGAAAGCTTCTATTGGACCAGCATCCACCCATGTCTTCTATGGGTTTCTGTTGGTCCATTAGATATTTTCTTCTATGATGGGTTTCTGTTGGTCCATTAGATATTTTCTATGGGTTCCTGTTGGTCCATTAGAGATCTTTCTATGGGTTTCTAATGGTCCCATATTCTGAATTCCCTATTGAAACCAATAGTCCAATGGCTTCTATTGGTAAATCAATAATGATAAATCAAAATCGATTTTAGCAACTGTCCACCAAAAAAAATATATTCTAATCTCAATTGCATTAACTTCATCACATAGAGCACTTGAAGTGAGTTTAAGAATATCCTTTATTTTAACTGATGGCTTGTACTATTCTATATAATAAACATACATGAATTTTTTCTTGGTTCGTAATCATTAAAATCAATATATTTATTGCTAAAACGTGAATGAAATTGTAACATATGATTAAACAAATAATCTATTGGTCATTAGTTGCCGAAAGAAAATAAAAATCACAAAATTGATGTACATTGTCATAAGTTGCTTAACAAATTATGATAAATGTAATTTTCTGTGAACACGTATAAAGTAATCATGAATATGCATGAGATAGATTTAGCTGTTGGTTTCTAATGGTTTCTATTGGGCCTATTGGTTTCTATTGGTCCCATTGGTTTCTATTAGTCCTATTGGTTTCTATTGGTCCTATTGGTTTCTATTTCTATTGGTTTCTATGGGTGCTATTGGTTTCTATTGGTTTCTGATGGTTTGAATGGTCTCTATTGGATTCAATATGGGTCCAACAGAAACCAATAGACTCCAACAGAAACCATTAGAGACCAATAGAACTTTTCTAATGGTCTCTATTGGTCTCTATGGGATTTTCGACCTGGGCAGTACTTATTATGTCACGCCACAATCGTGTCGGCCTAAATGAAAGAGATACATAGAAGAGAAATTTTATTTTACCTTCACACAACTCAACTCAACATGGAATAGCATATAATAGTTTTCGGTACCCTGCCACCAAATAAAGAGTAGTAAATTCACTTTTGTCTAACGGGAGAGGTACATAGAGAGAGAGAGAGATAGAGAGAGAGAGAGGGAAAGAGAGAGAGAGAGAGAGAGAACAAAAAAAAAATTATAGAGAATTATATAATAACACCCAAAATTGATAATATTGATGATTGGTTGACGTTAGTCAGGCAAGTGGTCGAAAATGTGGACCACTTATTACTCGCAAGACTCCATGTCCGCTGGCATCTTGCAGACGAAGGACATCACTTCGTTGCAGTATATGTCATTCCATCCTTGTTGAATGTCTGAGGCATCGTTATAGCGAAAGATATGGACGCAATCTTCCACCTCTTCACCTCCGTAGTAGTCGTTGTTGGGTTCTTCTGCACGCATCCATTTGAAGAAATCACCCTGGTCGGTACCGTCAGAGTTCTTCCAGGGGCCGTCAGCCACAGCCTGGTGAAGTCCGGTCCATATCCCGTATAATGGATTGCGGTCTGCTACGCTATACTGAAGAAGTATTAAAGGAAGAGAAATTACATCAGCAAGGCACTTCATGTTATGGTAATTATTCACAGGGGCCCTTTGGAGAAGCTATAAGGACTTTTATTCTTGGCAAAATTGATGGGGAAATAGGGGACCTATGGCTTGAAGTCCTATTCCCTTGATTGTAGGTCATTGAGTATTACTGCCGTTTGATACCAATGAGCACTAGCGCTTTTATCATCCGTGACAATAATAATAGTAATACTACTAATAATCATTATTGTTAGTATTACAATCATTATTGTAATAATAATAATATAGTTATAATGACCGCTGTGAGAGGAATAGTTGTTTTATAGGCTCAAGTGGATGTTGCATTCTGATATCACCCCGAGGCGTGCCGAGGGGTGATCATGCAAAATTGTTGAACACAATTATTTCCAAATCGAGGTTCAAACCTTTAGTGCTTGTGATCTGCTTGTCATCTCGTCATTACATGTAGATCTGGGCCTACAACGGCTACGATCGAGATCGATGTAGCAACCAAATTAATCGCACAAAAACTGTATGATAACGTTTCTTTCGCTGCGCACAAACTTCGTTTTAACAGGAAGTTTAACAGGTAAACCAATGGGGATTTAACTATTTTTCTGGTACCCAGAATCTTGCGGGAACATCACTCATCAACTATTGACCATTTGTTCGTCTCTTTAAGGTAATCACGACTGCAATTTCGACCAGTACATATGGCTAAATTTCCAAAGAGAAGTATATAATAATTTATACATCTCTTTAGAAATCTAGCCATCTGATTGGTCGAAATTGCAGTCGTGATTTGCGATATTCCCGCAAAGAGACGAATACATCATAGTCAATATTTCATGAGTGATATCTGTTGCCCCGAGTAACAGGCCGCATAAATCAATCGTGCTCAGATCCCCATTGGTTTACGTGTTAAAATTTTCTATGTGCGAGCGGACACCATACAGTGCTTTTTGCCTGCGATTCCCAAATGAATGAAACTTTCAGTCATTTTCAAGCGAAGAAAAACACTGAGACAGTTTCTCAGATTTTCTGTGATGTTTTAACCAATCTTTACTCAATGAAAGGACAAGGAAAGAATTCTTGGAATATTTTTGTTTCAATTCAGCATATAAAAGACATATCGACTGCTTACCCAGTCGCACCGAGGGTTCATGGCAGGATGTGCTAGTTCCCGAGAGCATCTCTATATTGTATTACATCCTGCATCAAAAATTTGTCGGCTTCTGATTGGTTGAGAGCTCGTCACATGACCAAAAATATTTGAGCTATTTTTAGAAAGTACTATTATGAGAGTACTATTTTGGTTTACTATTTGGGAGTTGAATTTTGAATTTTTTGAATTGAACCAATTTTTTTTCAAATCTTAATTTAATGAAAACAAAATATTTTAAATCTTTTTAGATAAAAATTGACATTTTTTTTGTTCTAAATTTTTTTTTCCCCAAAAATGTTTTTTTTTTTTTTTTAAATAAATTTTTTGATGCAGGATATAAAACAAATATACCATGCCTTTTATTCGAGGTACTGGTTAAACTATGGGCCTCGGTGACTCCAAAAGTACCATTTGCTTCGGGGCTGCGTCCCTCAGCAAATAGTACTATTGGAGTCACCTCTTGCGCATAGTTTTAACCAGAACCTCTCAAGGCAGTGTATATTTGTATACTATTATTAGTATAATGATAAATTAATAATATTAATACTACTACTAGTACTACTACTATTACTACTACAGGTACTACTGCTATTATAAATAATAATGATAATAATAAGAAGAATGACAATCAGAATGATAACTGATTAAAATAATAACAACAACAATAATAATAATAATAATGATAATGGTGATGATTATGATGATAGTAATTATAAGATTGGATACTTGTTAGGCGCTCACGTCGGTAACACTGCTTGTTATTATTACCCTGGCTTTAACACTGCTGTCCGTACAGCTAGAGCACATGTATTTAATTATTTTTTTTGCCCGGTGCCCATTTACCTCACCTGGGTTAAGTGTGGCAAATAGGGATTAATGTCTGGCCAAAGGAAGTTCATTTTAATTGGCAACACTCATTCCTCTTGTTATACTCTTCACGTGATCACATAACATTTAACATGGCAATGTAATATCTGGAATAGCATGACTGTCAACGGGAAATGGTGTAAAATCTTACCACCCAATCTGGAATGTCGTTTATGGACACGCTTGATTTGAACATCTCATAAACGAAGCGGTTCTCTGCAAGGCTATGGATCGAAGCTAGATGTCCCATTCCAGCGATGGTAGAGTCCTCATTGCATCTGGCTTCAGCAGCCGACCATGTCAATCTATCCCCCCGGTATCGATAGCAGTTCCCTCCGAATAAGTTCCAGAACTCAGGGCAGCTGTAACCGGCGTTGCCCACGGTGGCCATGGCGACAACAGTGATCAAAATGAGTATCTTCATGATGTCGTGCTGTGGAATGATGATTTATAATCATTTACGTTGATAATGATAATTTTTGTACCCAGGTAATCCTTTCAGCATCAATGTTGCTCTTCGGGTGTAGGCTTAAATTGTTACGCCAGGAAAGGCCAGGTATCCATTTACACCTATATCTGACAATACATGTATTTTTTACACCAAAAAAAACACCATACCAATAATCTAATTTCAAGTGATATATTGGTTGAAAGTTTGAAATGGGGCCCCCTTGTTTTATCTAGACGTATCCCCCCCCCCCAACACACACACTTAATCAACCTGTGGGTATTCGGACTAAAGCAGAGAAAGACGAAGTTCCGGTGTACACGGTATTTTATATTTATCATGATATTTTGTATTACTCTCTTGGAAATAGTGATTATTTATAATTTTATTTTTTCACTTTTATTTATTTCTCAAAGAAATGGCCGCTATTATTCTTTAAATTTGACAACTGATGATATCATTTGCTTTTATAAAACTCAGCTAACACGTGTACGCGAAGTAATTCGACGTCCCAATGAATGCGGACATTCTAGTGCCCCCTCACAAATAGATGGACGGAATGATACTACTTGATTTTCTATTAATCAATAGAATGATCTTGGCCTTTAATATGACAACGCTCTTAAAAATGCATTCAATATAGAAAGATGTGTTTGAATATACATACGCTCTTAAAATCGAATTCAATATAGAAAGATGTTTGAATATCCATATCTTAATTAATTTTATATGATCATTCTTGTCTCTTGAAAAGGTTAATTAGTCTTACCCTATCTCCTTTCTATCTTGTCGAAGCAAAACCAATTCTGAAACGATCGTCAAAGAAATTTGAAGTACTGTCGAGAAGAACTGTAACGGGCGTCAACTAGAATACGAGTGAAGCTGTAGGGGAAATGACCAGATGTAATATCTGTTCTGCATTTAGTTGATTTAGGTGCAAAGATGACGAAAACGTGTTGCGGAAAGCTCATGCGCTTTTATCCACGTCGACAGTAATAGCGCACGCGCTTTTTTCCACGCCGGCAGTAAGTACATTAGACTGATTCGTCCGGGAGCCAGGGGGGGGGGGGGGGGGGGGGGGGGGGGGGGGGGGGGGGGGGGGGGGGTCAACCTAGCTGGAAAGGAAACCAATTTTCATGTACACGGATGTAAAAGATCGCATAGCCCTATATAATGAATTGAAAGTCTGCCATGTCCTTAGTGGTGGGTGTGGCCAGGGCGAGGCTCCAAAGTGGTCAAAAATTGAAGTAGATCAGCTGGAAAAGAAACCATATGAAACCCATATGAGAAGATTAGCCGTAATCTCGAGAAACAGGAATGGGCAAGACGTTTTAAGTGGTGGGAGGTGTCTGCCAGACGCCCCCAAAGAGGTCAAAAAATGAGCTAGATCAGCTGGAAAGGAAACCCCATGAAACCAATGGAAAATTGTTAGGCAGAGTCCACAGATACACAAATGAACACTGTCAGACGATTTAAGTGGTGGGGAGTGCCTCCCAGACGCCCCTAAAGAGCCCCGATCCCCGAAATTTCGCTAGATCAGCTGTAAAGGAAACCTTATGAAACTCATATGAGAAGATTCGCCGTAGTCTTGAGGTACATGAATGGACGATGCCAGACGTTTTTTTTATGCGATTGGAGTTGCCGCCAGATGCCCACTCAGTGGTAAAAAAATTGAGCTAGATCAGCTGGAAAGGAAAACCCATATTGAACCTTTATGAAAAGATTCGCGACAGTCCAACGATACGCAAACGGCTATTGTCAGACGATTTAGATGGTAGGGAGTGACCAATGGTGGATCCAGGGGGAGGGGGGGGGGGGGGGACCTGGGAGAAAAAAAATGTTTTTTTTAAAACTTTTTAAACGTTAATTTTACTCTTTTTTTGGAGATGCCCCCCCCCCCCTTGGCGCTCAAGGGGGGGGGGGGGATGCAATTTTTTCAAATTTTCGAGGGCCAAAAAAAAAAAAGTGCTCACCATCCCCCCCCCCCCCCCCCCCCCCCCCCCCCCCCCCCCCATTCAGCGAATTTTAGGCCGACGCGATTTTCAAATTTTTGGGAGCAAAAAAAAAAAAAAAATAGTGTTCACTACCCCCCCTCCCCCCCCCCCAAATGTTACCAATAATTTTCCAGAATCATTGTGCCTACTTCAATAAATTGGATCGTATGTGGTACATAATACGCATGAAATGATAGGTTGTAGCACATTTACTAATTTGATGTTTTTGATTAGTTTCTTTATTCGACATTATATTCTTTTGAAATGTGTAAAATTTGCAACGTTTTGTTTGTTATATAATTTGTAAAAATGCAAAAGAAAAAGAAAATCAAACAGAAATAAATAAATCAAATCAAATCAATCAAATCAAGAATATATGCAGATCTCTACTTGAGAAACTGCTGATTTAAAAGTTATGCACAATTAGCACATTGACTTAATTTTCTTCTTTTCTTTATGCCCATGCACATCCCAATTAAAATTCCATAAACGGATATTTTTATAAGATTGTCTATGACAGTGAATCTGGTGGAACTGTAACATGAACGTTGATGTTTCAAAGGAAAGAATCTACGACAAGTTTGCATTTTATTTTATTCTGATTTTTGTTAAATGTTATTCTATGTTCAAAAAGACCATATGATTTATGCAAAGGGAATGATAGAACTCTAATGTCGACGGTGATGTGGTACCAAACTTATAAGCTGGTACCTAATGAAATTTTCAAATCATCAAATCGTGAGATCCTTAGAAGTTCAAGAAGTAACTATTAATGATTTTAAGTTATTCATGGCTAAGCAGAAAAGTTTTCAAAATGATCCCAATTGTAGTTGTGGAACTTCCATTGAAACACGCAAATACTAAAACTGAGATTTAATCGAATCAAGTAGTTTCATAATTTTCCTTCGATTTTTGTACCGAATTACTTGTAATCGAGAAAAAATAGCTTTACATATACCTAGCCGAAATTATAAATGAGAAAAGTTCATGTCATTCTAATCTAATCACAATAGGAATTAAAGGTAATGCGAAGTGTTGGTAAGGCTAACTAACCATCATAGAAAATATTCATCAGTTTGATCTTTATCTGAAAGCATATGAAGTAAATTTATATCACAACACTTTACAAACATAACGTAGCAATCTAAAAAGCATATCATGTATTTATAGTTTGATTTAATTTGAAAGTATAAAATATGAGTTTTCATCCCTTGTGAGGGCGGTGAAGATCTGCTTCCAGCAGCATCAGTATTTTTTAACACTTATCTTCATCTTGGCAATATTTTTCATGATTCATGTTTCATCTGTTTTTTTCTGACAAAGTTGTATTGTCCTTAGCTTGCGGCAGCCGACATTTAAATGAATGAGCACAGGATAGACTTTGATGATCTTAATGATTGTTGAATTTAGATCTTGGTCCCTTGTATTTTAATATATATTAATAATATCTCATATAAATGTCAACGGCCGCTACACTTATTTCAACGATTTTATGTAATAATATTACAGCCTAATCTGGACGATTTTTGTTCAAAGAAATGTTCTGTAATGAAAATATTGTGCTATATCAATTCCTCTACATAGTTTTTCTACCTGGGAAATTTTATGAAGAGGCAATCCCTTTCAAAAGTCAAGGCAAATCAAAAGAAAACAACTATATAATGCAATTGAATGCCCAATGATTTAAATTGATAAATAAGATTAAAGATTAAACTATATACACATTTAGCGTTGTTAATGACTTATTAGGGAAACTTGATACTGAAAACCGTACATGTTCTGTTCATTTCATGACCCAACGGAGATACAGGTTCCACCCCCCCCCCCCCCCCCGCGCGAAGCGCGAAAGCTTTGACGGTTCATTAAATTTATTAAAGAAAGAAGACGATTCGCTGTACCGTTCTCGACTCGGCTCAAGGGTTTTAGGCACTAAATTACGGTCAGATGAGTACCAAGGGGCCCGCCTTAGGGCCCTCGGTTGGGTCCAGGACCGGAGCCCCGGAAGCTCCGGGGTTTTAGGCGTTTAATTACGTTTAATACCTTATTTTGTTGTGACACTGGCAGTTAACTAATTTTTCTTTCTTGCTCTCTTTCTTTCCATTTCTCTTTATATGATTTTAAAAAAAAGTGGAGGGGGGGGGGGGGGGGGAGGGACCTCGAGGCTTCTGATCCCCGCCGTTTCGCGGGCCCTGGCGGGTAGGCCCCTATGCATCTCAAGAAGCATATTTCTTGCATGACTGTAAATTTAGGAATTTTTCATTTTACAACAAACGCATCAAAAAGTATAATTTACTAAAAATCTAGGAAAATTATGTAATTTCAGCATTATGTGTAAACCACCGTTATGGAATTAGAAATAAACCACGTTTGAATTTTATTTCCCCCGAGCCCCCTCCTGATTTACACTTTGTTGGCAATTGATTTCCCCTACCTTTTTTCTTTCTCTTTCCCTTTCCCTTCCCTTCCTTCTCTCTCTTTTAGGTTTGCTGGGGGGGGGGGGGTGGGACAATTTCTTCTTCCTCTCTTTTGGTCCCTTTTAGCTCTCCTTTTTTTCCTTTTCCTTCTTTCTCTCTCTCTCTTTTTAGCGGGGGCGGAGGGAGGCAAAGGCCTTTTGCCCTACCCCATCCCGATCCGCAACTTTTTGGCGGGAAAATTTCAACTGATATCCCCCTTCTTTTCTTTACTTCATCCTCAATTTTTCTTCCCTTTATCTCCTCTTCAGTGACTGGTCCCTCAGAAACTAGTGCTAAGCCAGTCACAGAGAATTCATGATTTCAACCGATGCCTGTCAGTGCATTGTAAATTTGATTTTTCTTCAAATTTCATTTAAAAATCTTCTCATATTTGATAAATATGGTGCATTGGCATATGAGCTATGGTTGGAGCGTTGGATGCGTTGAACAGCGTTGGTGTATTATGTGGATTTATCATATTCATATTCGGAATATTTTCAGCGAATTGAATAATATTGAAAAGGATACAATTC